CAGCTTAGACGGAAACCCTTTATTTAAGACCTGTCCAACATTAGTCAGACGAATGAAGTGGGCAAGTGATATGATGACCAAGCCTCTGGACTTTTGGAAGACCATATTGTTCTCAGACGAATCAAGATTCGCTCAATTTTTGGACAGTGAAAGGATATGGGTCTGGAGAATGCCTCACCAAGAGTTTTGGCTCAACAGATTGCAGCAACTGTGAAGCATGGTGGTTTCAGCGTGTCGATCTCCCACTAACCCAAACAGCTCCCCAAACCATGCTTAGTGGAGTGCGTTGGCAACATAAATTTTGCGAAATACGTCGAAATATTGGAGGAAGGACTCTTGCCACTTTATTCCTTGGGTTTCGTGAACAAGAACATAACGTTGTTCCAGGAAGATGGAGCACCGTGTCACATTGCTAGGAACACCCAAAAGTGGCAGGAAGAAAATGGTATCCAGAAGTTGCCCTGGCCGAGCCAATCTCCTGACATGAACCCCATCGAAAACCTCTGAGCCATACTCGACCGGCAAGTCAAGAAACAACCAAAAAACTAACTTCGATGAGCGATCTATTCCAAGTTTTGAAGCAAGAGTGGGCGAAAATCCCCACAATCTAAAATTGTCGAGATGATTCTCACGATGCCCCAAAGGATCAACGAACTCCACGAAGCGAAATGAAGATCTACTAGATATTAATTAAATTATAAATATATCAATTCATGTGAATATGACCGAAAAATTTCATTTTTTCTGAAAAGGTGGTGTCTAGTTACTTGTGACCACGCTGTCTATATAAATTAGCTTTTGAAAGGTATCCAAGTACGTAGATGTTATACAAACTTTCATAATGCAGTTTCTTCCTCTAGGATGAACACACCATTCTTCGATCATGGGCTGTCCGGGACTTCGCCCCTAACGTTCCACAGTACGTACAGATTTTCCGTCCCGATAACAAGGTGCACGTTGCATTTGCCGGTAAGAAGTCACTTTACAAAATTATCAGAACACTATTAATAAATTCCATTTAAAGCCTCTGTCCTAAAAGTAACTGATATAAAATAGCCGTAACTTCTGAAAAGTTTTGAAGGTTGTGGAAAATAACTACATTGTTCTGACACCTTCATTTTATTGATTTGTAAATATAGTGAGTTGCTCTATATCGAGCAATTATTTTTCTGACTTCGAATGAATGTAAATTAATTTTAAGCGTTGCAAGTAAGCAGATTTTTCCGGCCTCTAGCTGGCTTAGCATCGATAGCATGAGAATATTTGAAACGTAACACCAACCTTTCTAAGGTATGTAAACAGGGAACTACATTATAATGGACTTATTTGTTATTCCATTTAGTTTTTGTGGTAAGAGATTTCACAGCTTGTGTTAGTTTTAAATGGAGATAACATATATAAAATTCTATATCAGTTAATTTCTCAAATTATATATTTCGCGTTTTCAAATTCAGTTATGAATTCCTTGTAATGTTCCCACACTCTACGTATGTGTCTATTGCTAATTGAAATAAGTTTTCAAAAAGCACGAAAGTCAATGTTAGAGATGTACAAATTTGGTATGAACTCCACCATAGTAACTTGTATTGTCACCTGCAATGGTTTCATTTTTACCAAAAAAGTAATATTTAAAAGTATGATATTTTTCTAAAATTAAAAAAAATAAATGTTACATAAATTTAAGCATAAAGCATAAAAAATATCTTCCTTAAATCAATGCTCACATAAAAAGTGAGCTAACCTTTAGCATTGTGTCTTTTATAACGAAAAACAGGCGTCACTATAGCAACCTTCTTTTCTAACATTCCTTTTCAAACATATTATGGTAAATATCTAGAATTTTCAAACATAATTAATTGAGCTACACTACTTCGAAAACACAGCAAGTAACAGTTTAAATCAGAGGGTTTTGTAAGTAAATTCTAACGAATATAATCAATTAAATGAATAAATCCGTGAAATAAGACCGCGAAATGTTTCTCAATGAATTTTGACTTGCAGCAAAATTAGGTTCCTGACATCATCCATACCACACAACTCAAAATATTCCACTATCTGGTACTAGATAACTCGCTCACTTTTTTCTTTTGCATGTTTTATTTCACCGTACTTTTGTTCTTCAGTGCAAAGTAAGAAATTCTCTGTGCTAAAACACTGTTTTGTCATATAGAACATGTGGTTTATCATATAGAACATTGTTTTGTCACATAGAACATGTGGTTTATCATATAGAACATTGTTTTGTCATATAGAACATGTGGTTTATCATATAGAACATTGTTTTGTCATATAGAACATGTGGTTTATCATATAGAACATTGTTTTATCATATAGAACATGTGGTTTGTGAAGATGAGTTCAAGTATGCTATGTTAGCCAATAACTGCTTGTGCCCAGGTACTTCTACTCTCGTCACCCTTCTCCTTCATACATCACGTGGACAGTAAGTAATCATTTAATTTGTTAGTTAAGAAATCAGTGTTAGTCTGCTAGAGACAGCTAGAAAACTAAGCTTCCGAAAACATGTTTTACACTGACGTTGTAGCAATTTATAAGAACAACTAAATGAGTTTCTCGAACTACATAAAGTTCCACTGTTACTTGCCGTCGAATTAGTTGTATTAATGAAAGGTGATATTGCTTGAAATTGCAATACTCAACTTGCATATAATAGAGGGTTTTCTAATATGATTTACAGTGACTACTTAATTTATTAAGATCCAATGCACACCTCAAGAGCATTACATTTATTCCCATAAGCCAAAAAGTTTGACCATGTGATATCAGGTGATTTCGTGGACCCTATAAATACAAAGACGTAATTACGTCATGATTATTTTGAAGGCAAATAGTTGAGATGGCTCCGATTTTGAAATATCTATACAGTATTATCTGTTATTAGAGACTATCAACAATAGCATTTAAAAGAGAATACATTTAACACTAAAATAAAAACAACTGTGTCCCCGATTCCTGGTGACTGGCGAAGGTAAAAGACGGTTTGAAAGTTTTCAAATATCAACATGTGTCCCAACTGATCGATTATTTCACGAGTGGTAAGGTTTGTTTGTTTGTTTTGTATTTCGCGCAAAGCTACACGAGGGCTATCTGCACTATCCATCACTAACTTAGCAGTGTAAGACTAGAGGGAAGGCAGCTAGACATCATCACCCACCGCCAACTCTTGGGCTACTCTTTTACAAACGAATAATGGGAGTGACCGTCACATTATAACACCCCCACGGCTGAAAGGGCGAGTATGTTGGTGTGACGGGGATTCGAACCCGCGACCCTCAGATTGCGAGTCGAGCACCCTAACCACCTGGCCATGCCGGAGTGGAAAGGATTTAACTATCTCGATTCGTGCCATATCAAGAACTGACAACTTGTCTGAAGAGCTCTTATCTAACACACATGCCTTAAAACATGGCTTCCGTAAAACGTGTGGTGTGGTCTGATGAGTTGCATAAACCCACACCTGGCACTTGATTCTGCTTGTGGTTGTGTAATGGTAAGAGGTAATGTTCTTGTGATAAGGAGTGGTTCTTTTAACCCTGAAAGTCACTGCCAAGCATGTTAACTCTAAAGTACTATATTTTCAATTATATGGATAATGGCTCTTCCAAAATACTGAAATAATAGGCGGCGCTCCTATTATCCAGAACGATTTCAAGAATGCGGTAATAGCATTAGCAATGTTCTTTCTAGTACAAAATTATAACCGAAACTTAATCTGATTTAGCAGAATCAGAGTTAGTCTGAATGTTGGACATGTGATCGTAACTCACGGCCGAGACCTGTGAACTTAATGCATATCATAGTCTCAAACAAATGGGTTATAGTTGGACAAGACGTCTTCCAGCATCTTGTGGAATTTTGTGGATCATAACAAACTGGACAGTCAGTGTGATTTACATTTAAAGCCAACACCTATTCATCTTTATTTATTGGAATTTCAGTTATTCCTCATTAGATGGAGAAAAAATTAAGAAAACATACTTGGAAGTTCAGTTATCTCTCAATAGATGGAAAAAAATACTTGGAAGTTCAGTTATCTCTCCATAGATGGAGAAATGTACTTGGAAGTTCAGTTATCTCTCAATAGATGGACACTGTACTGCACTATTATTAAAAACCTTTACTCAAAATACAATAGAAGTAAGTACTGTCACTGCCTTATATTTGCACAACAAACACGGCCTGATGATCG